GGATAGCGTGAATTAATTGATTAAATCACAAAAAAAGTTTTGAAATAACTAATCATTTATTTATTTTATTTATTTGTTCAAACAGGTAAGTCATTTTAGTCCTTCAGCTGCTGTCTTGTTGAGGTGCAGAAATATTAACACAAAGATAACACAAAAATAAAGTGAACCTAATATTTAATAATCAAAAGTTTTTGAAGTCAGTTATAAAACAAATATACCAAATATTCACTTGTCTATTTGTACTTGTTCTGTTTTATATTTGTGGGTCAAACAAACTTTTTACTTTGCCTTGGGCTTTCACTATTTTGTGACTTCTTATAGACCAGGGGTGTTTTTAAGCACCCCTTATCTGATAGACAGATGGAGCAGGGACCCCATACTACATATATTGTATAAAACTGTGTAGTCTAAACTGGGCCTACAATAATATGTACAATAATTCCCCTACACGAAGGCCGAGCAGTATTCAGATGGTTGCAATATGGGCTGCCCTGACAATTGGTGTACCCATGTACCACGGCTGAGTCCTTGCTACAGAGGCCATGGGTTTGATTTGGACTTGGACTTTGATCCCCTCCCTCTCTTCCCCCTTTCCTGCCAATCTTCAGCTGTCACCATCAATGAAAGGCAATCAAATAGAATAGAAATAAAAACAGTGGTTGCAATATCCAACTAGATGCCACTGAATCCTACACACTGCTCCTTTAATAATTAGTCACAAATGTGACATTTTCAAGAGAAAAGAGGTTTCCAGGTGCTTCAATCAAAAGATTGATTTTTTTGCCTAATGCTAGATTGTGCTGATCTTTGAAAACTTTTTTTTTTTTCAAAAAATGCCTCTTTTGGCATAAAGATATTGACACACTATATTGATTTGTTTTTTTTTCTTTTTGCTGCTGTACTTTTCCTCTACGTGGGGTGCCTTGTCTTTTGAAACACCTTAATTATCTTGTACATGACAGAATTTGTTTTGTCTTCCTTTATATTTCAAGACTTTTGTCTTACTGTCTGTGCTTTTTCCGTGTTTATGTTAAGTAAACAAGAAGTTCCTATATCGACAAAGCAACAACCTTGATGTAACTCCTTGCATGCTGTTTCTATGCAGCTGCACCAAAGTTAGAAACTAAATTTAAAAGACAGATAGCCATGGTTTCACTTCCTATATGTAACAGGGAAGTACGAGAATTTCTCTCTTTTTTGATATTTTTTTTTATATGTATGTATGTTACTGATTTCTCGTTGCTCAGGGCTCGCTCCTCTGTCCTTTCTTCTCTCGCCCTCTTTATTTTCTCTTCCTCTTTTCTGCTACCGCCACCACTGCCAGGAGCCTTGAACGCATAATTATAATGCAATTATAGTTTCAATGGATGACAGAGAGGGAGAAAAAAAGAAAGGGCAAAAGAAAAAATGAGGTAGTGTAGCGAACAGGGCTGAATATCAGGAGTCTGCTTCAATAGAGATAGAGTGCAAAAGAGAGATTGTTTTTGAGCCAGAGAGACAGAAGGCCAGAAGACAAGAGAGACCTAAAGAGACTTATGGAGAGCAAAGACAAGATGTTCTGGGGGAAAGAAAAAGACTGAGATAGAGGGTTTGGCTGGGTAGACTCGGTCCCTGATGTAAAGATGGGAGGAAAGCTGAACAGCTATAAAATATTCTCTCAGAAGACTCTCCTGCCTACAAGTCTTCAGTATGCAGAGGGAAGGAGGGGAGGAATGTAAGAAAGAGAAAGAGGTGGAGGAGGAGGAGGACAAGAAGGCAGAGGGAGAGAGAGAGAAAAGGAGGATTAGAGGAGATGAAGCAAGATATAGACGAGTTAGAGGAGGGTATATAGACGAAGAATGAGGGAGGGAGAAAAAGGTTGGTGTAGGTGGAATGGGAGGGAGGAGATGAGGGTTGCAACCTAGGATGAGGAGCGAGGGAAGAATGGGATTAGAGATGGGCAGGAGAAATGCATTCAGAAAGTAAGGGGTTAGATTGACGGTGCTGGGAGAAGGATGAAGATGAAGGAAGATGAAGAAAAAGTGAGAAAGGGTTTAGAAAGGAAGGTAGCAGAGAAATGGGGGGAAAGTATGTGATGGAGAGCAACAAAGGCGGTGAATTAAGGGATAAATGGAGATAGGAGGAAATCAGCAGAAAGACAGAACAGAGGTAAAAAAAAAGATCTGGCGATCCTTAAAAACTTTGAAATTCACTGAAGAAAAAGCCTATGGAAAGGTAATTCAGGTGCTATGACTTCACATTCCATCATATATTTTCTGGAGGCAGTGAATGAAATGATTGATTTAAGTCTTTATACTATCCATATGATGGTCAGATACCATATTTACATGCAAAATTACTGGTATCAGTAATCATTCTTCCTATCCACATTGGCTGTGGAAGGATCCCTTTGTGGAAAACTGAGAGACAAAATCCACAGTCCTTGTTCGGATTTTAGAAAGTTAAAAATAATGAAACTGACTGAGAAATGAGACTGAAATTTAGATTGCAACTTTATTGTTGTTTGTTTTTTTTTCTGCTCCAGCATACGTATCTGCTTTATAAACCTCAGGCCATGTGTTCTCCTTTGAGAAAAAATGTATAAACCCAAAGGGAGAAATGTATATTTGATGTCGCCTTCTATCTTTGCTTCAATTTATGACTGTTAGTTCTGCTTTCCATGTCAGTGAAGAACTGCCATACAATCAATCATTTTAAATATGTGTATAAAGCAGTAGGTTGCTGTTCTATTATAGGCAATCATAATGACAGCTAACAGCTTGATTTCCAGAGTGAAAAATTGCCTATAAAAACGTACACCTACAGTCCATTACATTACTTGTAGTTAATCACAGTATGATTGGCCCTCATTCATGTAAACTTAGAAGAGATGAGGATTTATCTGGATTTAAAAATGTTGTGGTTTGACAGGTTGAACATGACGTCCTTCAGCAACTCTTTAACTTTTGTCCTTTTTTTATTCTGCCCATTTCAGGACTTGCATTATTTGTGTTCAGTTTGCAGCTGTTAAGTCTTAAATTTGAATTTGGGCTCAAATATTATAAAAGTATTGAAACGTTCTTCTATTCAGCTTCCTAAAACCCGCAGATGCAATGCAGATTGATGAAAGAAATCAGAAAGAGCTGAGGGCGTGGAGACAGATAACAAGTGAAGAGGGGGAAAGATACAAAGAAATAAAAGTCAGAGGAAGGTGATGAGAGGGATGAAAGGATAAAAGACTGAAAGACACAGATGTTGAGATGCAAGGGAATAGATGAGTGAGAGACCTCAAAAAATAGAGGGGTTGTTGAGTATGGTGAACGTAATCTAAAATTGGAGATGGGGCAAAAAAATGAGGACATGAAGAGGAAAAAGGAGGCAGGGGAGGAGACGGAGGGAAAGGAAGAAAGAAAGAAGGGGATGTGTTGAGGAGAAAAGGGAGAGTGCAAAAGAGCCCGAGGCCAAACTGAATGAAGGGGCGAGGGGAGGGGGAGAGGTGGAAATATTTGACTGCAATGCGTTTTTGTAAAGTTTTATCCGGGGCAAGTGAAGCAGAGAAGCCTTCGGTGTGTTTTCAAGTCACAGAGGCAAATATTAAAACAGCGAACACACCCAACACAATAAAGTGACTGATTTTTGTCTTTTGTTGTTATTATTTTTAAGATTCACAAAAGTTTTATATGGATATCGAGTGACTGCAGAAGCTGCGTTGAATTCTGATGACCCCTGAGGTCGATAATATGTGAAGGGTTCATTTTGCAAAAACATCTGTATGTATCTCTGTTCTCCATGGAATATCAGTCATACTGGAGTTGGGTTGTGTTGATAAGATAGCTCAAAAACCTTTTAATTTTCAGAAATCATGTTTTTATTGTGCTCTCAAGGGAATATCTAAATGTGTTGCTTTGTTCACTGTAAGAATGGCATGTATCTGTTTTTGTCAAACAGAATCTGAAGGCAGAAAGTGAACACTTGTATTTGTGTTGGGTGTGTGTGTGTGTGTGTCCCAAAAACAGCTACTCCTCCTATTCTATACAAAATTAAAAATTCCAGAATCTATGAATACGCACATTTTTCATTCATTTCTAAAGTTTTTTCTGCAGGTGTCGCTGTAGATGGTAGGGAAGGTTTTATTGAGCATGTTTCTTTATAATTAGTAGGTTTCAAGCCAAATAAAATAGAACAGGAAGAAGAGCAATAGCAGTGTGTCTGATGTAAATAAATCTGATTATTTTATTTATATTTTTCAAAAGAAAGCAATTATTTTGTTCGGTAGGAAATACATAAATGTAACTTAAATGCAAGTAGGAATTGAGGATTTACAGTTTGGTGAACACTGGTCATGTTAAAACTCCATTGCACTGGGTACCATTTAGGAAAATAAAATTTAGCATGGAAGTATTATGTGCATTACATTTTATTCTCTATATAGTTTTATCAGTTATTATTATATTATTATTTCTGACTGGGCTATTAGTTCATGGTTTTACCTTAGACTGTTACATTTAACTAAGGATTTAGTATTGGAATATTATAAAGCATACAATTCTAAACCGGAAATTGAATCATAAAGTCACCATATGTGACCCAACTACACTCATTATTTGGACTAGAAAATGTAGATGAACATTGTAGTTGATAAACAAAATGGTATTAGACTGGGTTTGAAACCTCGAAGGTTCTATTCTGGTCAAATAAAGGCATTAAACTGCCAGGTTTAAGGGTTTGATCCCCACTGCTGCCACCAATGTTCTGTCCTGCTGCAAGTTGCTCTAGATAAAAGCATCCACCAAATCTCATTCTAACCAGCAATTTTAGCAGCAGCACCTCACAAAGACACTCTGTGCATTTTAATGGTATGATGCACCTGCAGCCACACAGTGTGTGCCTGTTTGTCATTGGATTAAATTCTGAATTGGCTGCAGACACTTCATAAAGGTGTTAAAGGTGTGTGTGACCTACAGTAAAATGAGCTGTTTTTCTCATTTAACTGAACCTTTTCTGTATCCTGTGCTTCATCTCTCCTCAGATACACTAAGATGAAAACGGCCACGAACATCTACATCTTTAATCTGGCTCTGGCTGACTCCTTGTTTCTGGCTACTTTACCATTCCAGGTATGACCTTATCCACATGTGCAACATCTCCCTTTTTACAGTGTTTCCTGAACTAGTCTTTTTGACCAATTTTGGAATTACATTCAGGTAAAACAAAAATCCCATTAATGTTATGTCACATAATTTGTACAAATTTTGTTGCATTATTACAGTAATAAACAATCAAACTCTTTTTTTTGTTTTTGTCAAAGAGATTTTAAAATGTGTGTAAACTTAATACTCTTTGTTTGCTGCTTTTTATATTTATCTATATTGTACCCTTATGAACAGTGTATACACAGGGAACACTGCAATTGTTGTAAATAAATGAAGGATTTTTTTCTACGAAAGACATTAACATTACAGGTAAAGCTCCTTATTGGCATATTGTGTGAACATTCGGACATACAAAGCTTAAGCTGATTATAGTCGTTTAGATACAGTTTCAGAAGTAACTGTTTTAAAGAACAGAAGCTACTGCCTACACATGCAATTTAGTGTGGTAATGGGAAGGGATGTGTGTGGCCTTTAATGGTGGCAATTAAGGCCAGTTAGTATGGATTCAGTATAAGTAAATGCAATATGATATATTTCCTGTCCCTAAGATCATAAACAATAATGTCTCTGCAAAGGAACATTTGTACTGGTTTGTGCCAAAGATGTAGCTTTTATTGTGTCCACCTCTTGTAATAACAACTATATTTGTATGATGTATTATGGAAATATTGTTCCACTGTTCTACATCACTGATATAAATACACATACTATCAAAAAGACTTATTTGGTTTCTTTATGGTTTTACTTAAACTTTATCATAATTTAAGTGATTTATTGCTTTGTGCCTTATCAGGCAGTGCAACTGGCCAGTATGTTCTCTGGTATATAACTACACAGAGCCATCTTTTCACAACTGCTTTTAAATATTCACAAAGGTATTATGGCTTTTTTTATATATTTTAAAATTTTCTGTGCACATACTGACTTGAACTGATCGATTCACCACACACCAAGTGGTTCAAACCAAAACCCTGAAAAAACAAAAGTTTTGCTGTCTTGCCAGCATCTGGATGTTATCAGGACTTTCATCAGTCACCGGCTGGTTGTCAAGTGTTACAGTTTTGTGCTTCATTGCACTGATTTGTTTCCACTTCATTGAAATATTAACTGCCCAAAGTCATAATTCAGAGGAGATGGAGTTCTCTGTTCTGCCTCCGGCTGTGTTTATATGCTCATTCTTTGATATCTGAATATTTCCAGGGCACAGACGTGTTCCTGGGCTTCTGGCCATTTGGGAACGCTCTCTGCAAGGCAGTGGTGTCTATCGACTACTACAACATGTTCACCAGCACCTTCACCCTGACGGTGATGAGTATGGACAGGTACGTGGCCGTCTGCCACCCCGTCAAAGCGCTGGACATGAGGACTCCTCACAAGGCAAAGGTAAAACTGTTTCATTTAAAAGTGAGATATTCCCCTTCCCAAAATCTTCACACCTCATTTATTCTTCCTGAAATCACCACTGACATCAGATCAGGTGTCAACATTCTGAAATTGAAAAAAGATAGATAAACTGTGTCATAACCTGGTTCACAGGCCATGACAAAAACACTTCCCCCATAAAGTCGGTATCCCAAGGAGGATAACCACCAATAAGCACAAACTATCACTTAAATCACTCAAAAGTATTTAAAAGGAAAAAAAAATTCACATGGCCATCCCGCCCTCGGCTTGCTGCTTATCGCCACACATCTTCAGCACCCCTGGTACCTGAGACGCACCTTTAAGAAAACAGGCACAGCAAGAATACACAGACTTTTATACATATATATATATATATATATGTATTCCAACAGTGATGGAATATTGCTGAATTCAATTTAATTCACATGCTGATCTCGATGTTAGAACAGGTTGTCTTGTCTAATGTCTTTAAAATTAAAAGATAGGCAAAGTAATGATGCTTGACATATAAACTCAGACATGATGCTGACATTGTTTGTTATCATGTCATATTTAATGTGTTTAAAGGCTTCAAATTATGACATAGAAAAGCACACTGTGAATAAATCATTGTCTACATAACCAGATAACTCGAAATTGTCTGGTGCAATTAGAGCAGCACAGCTGTTCCATATGTCAAACAGCTGTGAAGTATTTGTAATAAAAATGGCAAAAACGGTGTTGCACAGTGTTGCATTTCCCACAAGTCGGGGGTCTATTTATATGGGCATGTACTCTACATTGTGTGGACACCTCTTTATGTGATGGTATGTGAAAGCAAAGCTATTTCAGCAATATCTTCAAGCAACTTTGACGAGCAAACATTCTGTCCAGTGATGACATCTCAAGAAACAGGCGCCGATGAAAATATGACAAAATGAAGAAACGCAAACACAGCAGCAGATGATTTTCAGTTTTTTTATTTTTTATCAGTCATCCTTTAAGACAGCTGCCTTGTAAAAATATAGACATTTTATTTCAAAGGCCAACTTCGATTTTACACATCAAAGTCTGTTTGCTTGGTGAGTACTGCTGTGTATGTGAAACAAGTACTTTCAAGCATTTTATGGCTCCAAAGGAAGCTGCAGAAAACATGATAGATTACCTCAAGTGATGTCACTAGAGTCAGTGTCAGTTGGTGCTGAAGACTAATAAGTTTAAAAATTTGAAAAACAACTTAACTCAGCTATGATTGAGGCTAGAAGCTCAAGGCTACATGATCATTGTGGGTAATGTAGTTCTAACAAAAAAGAAGAATACATTCATCTACATCTTTATAGCTCTGGCTGTGGTACATCAATTGAGATTTTTTTAAATTGTCCATCATGAATCAAAAAATGTTTCCCCACACATAAAATCAATAATATAGCTGTATTCCGTTTAGGTGCCAGATCACTGTCATAGTTTACTAGAATAATTGATCAAAATATAGAAATTGTTCGAGTTATAACCGAGCTTTGAGTTTGAGTGTTGTGATCACTCACTGTTGTGCATTTTAACAATTATGTAATTAGTTAGTAAAGTAAGAAGAAAATTAAAGCTGCAAGCTGCATTGGGCGGGACCTTGCACTCCATGCAACTCGTCGTAACACGTGCGGACCACAACATGAAAATTTCACAGAAATCAGCTCAAAATTGCCACGCAGCGCTTAGTTCGTGTTGCCAGTAGGTGGCACTATCACTACGTCTGAATATTTTCATGTAAACATGTTCAGGGCGGGACTCTTATCAAACCTGTGAAGTTTCATTGAGATTAGGCAATCATCGTGCCAAGTTTCGTTTTAATCACATGTGCGAAAATTCACAGAAAATGACCACGGAATTCAAAATGGCCAACTTTGACGGCACGCCACAGACACGCCCTTCAACGTACAGTCACAAATAGCACAACATTTAATCAGCAATATTTTTTAACTGTACTGACCAATTTTGAAGTAGATCCAATAAGTCCCCTATGAGGAGTTTGTTCAAATACAACACGAAATCAATCAAAATGGCCTCGCTTCCTGAGAGGTGCTGAGGGCATGGCTCCAAGAGGCTTTTCTATACGTCTCGGCCGTAACCGTGCCATACCGAGTTTCATAATTCCTATGAAAGTGGCGCGGGGCTGCTATTGTTGAAACTGTAGGGGGAGCAATACAAATACGATGTTTTTGGTATGTGAGCTACAGGCCCGCTCTACATGTGTCCTGTGAATTTCATATTCATAACTATTACAGTCTCCGCACAGTGATTTACACTGCCACCAGAGCGCCACCCAGTGGCGTGGTTTTTTTTCCTTTTTAGGTGAGCCTCAGGGAGCCATGGGCAATCATTGTACCAAGTTTCGTTTTAATCACACATGCCGATGCGGAGATATAAACTTGTTCATTTTAAAGAGCGCCACCTTGTGGCAATGGCCTGAAATTGTGCACGATGCCTAAGGAAGACATGGGGAACTATGGACCCAAGCTTGGTGACATACACTGTGGAGAATGCTCCACTTCTTGTTTTCGATGAAAATACAGGAAGTGCTAATTTTATAACGCGTTTATTTTTTGAAATATATCCAAATTCTTCAAATTGATGCTACGTAAAAAGTTTTGTGCGAATTAGACAAAAGCGCATAGGAGGAACACGAAAAAGTAGTTTATGGACATTTGGCGCTCTAGCGAAAAAAAACTATAGGCGGAATTGACTTTTCGTATATGTTCAGGGGGTCAAAAATGCAGTGAAAGGGGCTAGAAATAATAATCATAGCAAAAACAATAGAGACCTCACAGTGTTGACACTGGCTCGGTCCCTAATTATTCGATTTACAAAAGTAATTACACAATTTTAAAATTGTACAAGTGAACTAATAGAAAGTTCTTGTCACAAAAGTGTCATACCATCAGGCATTTTAGATTTGTAGACATAAGGTTTATTAAATAATGCAATTTATTATGTAACCACTGTATCTGTATAGGTTATTCATCATCACTATTGTGTTATCATGTCTTCAGGTGGTGAATATCTGTGTGTGGGTGTTGGCTTCGGCCTTTGGTGTCCCTGCCATGGTCCTGGGAAATGTAGAGGAGGAACCAGAGCATAACAGTAAGTAATTCACACACACATACACACACATATATGCATTGTATATATTTATACCAGTACACGGTATACATGTACTGACATGTACATTCACATGCCTTCCTTCACGTGTGCATTTGAAACAAACAGCCTTACAGCATATATTACTGGACATACTGTGCCTTCACATACATTTTTCTTGTGACTGCGATGTGTGAATTGTAATGTCTAATTAATATGCAAAACAATGTACAGCTGTGTAACAGTGCAGCACAGCTTTTACATATATATTTCATTATCTGCTGCTGAAAAAGGAGAGTGTGAAAGAAGTCGCTTCAAACTGTATTTCAAGAGATTTCTTAGGGAGGTGTGATGTGAATTAACCTATTTACAAGTGTTGTTATTGTCCCAGTTTTTATAGCTTTTATTGCACAGGATCTGACTAATGGGCTCAATACATGTTGCTGCACGAACAAGTACAAAGAGATTTCGAACCAGCTGCCTGTCATACTCCACAATTTGGTCCATGTTATGAACTTTTACACAGCGGGTGCACATTCATATTCTTACTCTCTTACGCTATGTTGATAGACCAATGAGATAACAGTTTGAGTTACTAGCTTTTACGTTTTGATTATAGATACATCAGACTCACCAAACACAACCTGGTTGTGCTGGTGTTGGTCAAAAGGAATGCACAGCTTCTTCTTGAATTTATGGATGCATTGCAGTATTCTTGCTATCCACTGGTTTGTTGAACAACAGTGCTGCATCATTCAGAAAGTCCAAAACCTGTCTGTCAGATCCTTTTTCCTTCCATTACTCATTAAAATTTGACGGTGTTGGACATGTTGCCATATGTCCAACACAGTCCGATTTTTCAATGAGGTGCTTCCAAACTCCAACCAATCCACTTTGTAACCCACACTGAGCCCAGCCTCGAGTGTCAATCACACCAGTTATACGCTTGCCTCCAATATTATGCACATAGTGTGTAATTTCCTTGGAAAACTCTTCTGTGCTAATTATATCTCACACAATCTGAGAGTCTGAGATAAGAAAAATAATAAACGGTGGTTCTGCATGTATTTGCCTCAACCATAAATTGTCATCATATGGAAATGGATATAACAGAGCTCAGGGAAAAAAAGAATTTGTATCACATAATCTTAGAGCATGCTTCTGTAGTCTAAATAACCCCACTGTACTTGTAAATCCAAAGTTTAAGTTGGTTTTACGTTACTGATGGTTAAACAGAATAATAACTGCCACCTTAACATCAAACCGTCATAATGAGGCTATAAATCTCCATGCTTGACAACTTTCTTATTGCTGCTTTTGCTCATTTACCTGATTCATTCCTCTCGCCTCCAAAGGGAGCCAGTACCAAGGGAAATTCAACCATAACATACAGACTTATTTCAAGTCAATATTTAATAGAGCATCACCTGAAGTTTAATAATTTAATCAAGTCTGGCTGCAGCCCTCCCTTCCAGGATGCACAGCTGAACTCCCTTCCATTTAATGCGATGTCAGTCTGTCAGGTGCTCTTCTACCACAACATGAACGTGTAACACGTGTGAACATGAACAAATCTGATCCAAAGAAGGCTAATTTAATCTTCATGGTTCATCTAACTGCTTTCTTAAAAGTTTGCACTTTATATTTTTATTTATTGCACAACTCCCACACTACATGCAAACTAAAGCCCTTTCAGACATAAACCTTGATGCATAAATGTACTTGTAATTGTAGTGGTCTGCCTAAGCAACCAGGGAACTTTTTTATAGAAGTTACAACAACAGTTTAGTAGATTGAATCTAGCAACACTATCCAACGGTGTAACACTGAGTCGAATGCTATCAGATTAACGTAAAAGCTACAGCAGCCCAAGGTAACACATGGGAACACATTGTGTTTGGCTTCCAAGAACACTGTATTACTTTTTTTTCACAATTATCATATCTAATGCACAAATAAAATAAAATAATTTAAATGAACCGGTAAAAACTGTGAATGAACCAAATTTAAGTTGTTGACTTTCTTCACATCCTAAATTAGTTCCAATAAAATATTTTGAGGGTTTTTTCTACTAACATCATAAGGCAAAAGAGGAAGTAGTTTTTAGAATTCACAATAATAATCAAAAAGCTTTTAATAATGAGTAACAAGCAATATGAGCAAAGAGGAATTAAATAAGCGCCCCAGCTTAATGGCTTGTCATTTTATGTTTGTGGACTGTCAGACATTGGAAAGAATTAGAAAAGGCACCAACATTTTCAGTTTAATAAGTACTGAAATCAATGAGAAAATGTATTACGGGATTCACAGTAAGAAGAGAAGCCGAGAGCCCTTTGCACTCACCTTGGTTATCAATTAAGGCTTCAATGGCAAAACACATTTTAGAACCCATCTTTGATGTAGACTATGAGAGAACTACGATTACTATTCCTCTTTCAGAAAACACTTTTCTTCTGTAATATCATTCACACAACATAACAGCACCTACACGTTGGCATGTTCTTTGATTTCAGCTAAGCATTCAACACAATCTCCCCCATGAGACTGATTAGCACTCTGGGCTAGAGTACCAAAACCAGTATTATTCCAAAGCGTAGAATACAAATGTAGTTGATCGGCAGGTCTATTACACCCTTTGGCGTGAGACTATGCTGGAATACCACACTGGAGATTGGACTTCCTCACAAACAGACCCCAGACAGTTCGGATCAGAAGTCAGACACATTCTCCACTCTGTTGCACAACATCGGAGCCCCCCAAGGGAGTGTGCTCGGCCCCCTCTTGTTCACGCTGTACACCCATGACTGTTCACCCACATCATGGAGACAATTCTGTCATGAAGTTTATAACACCGCCATCATCAGCCAGTTATCAACAAACGATAACATTTCAAATTGAGAAGAAAACAACAATCTTGCAGAATGGTACACAGAAAACAAGATACTTATCTGCGTCATCATTGATTTTAGACACTAAATCACTGGCGCTAAGGAAGAGCAAGTGAACCATTTTAGGTTCCTGCCTGGGAATCAGCAAGAATCTCTCCACCTCTCCATCGTAAGGAAACTTAAGAAAGCAAAATCCATGTGCCAAGTTCTTGTAAACTTAGCAATAGAAACTGACTGTAGACATCACAAATTGGAATGGTTTCTGCACGGCCCAGGAAGGCTCTGCCGTGGGTGCTGCTCGTCCACCAAGCAGCAGTGATGTGAAGTTGAGGTGCTAGCACAGAGCTAAAAAGACACTGAAGAAAATACTGTGCCATACCACCAGACTAAAGAGCAGCTTCTTTCCTCAGGTTGTTCTTGTGAAGCATAAAGGGACTAAAGCTTGCATTTTGTTGTGTGTTGCAGAATCACAAATAAATAAACCTTGAAGTCACTGCTCTCTTTCATGGACCAGGTGCCAAATATTACGCACACATTGTGGCTCTTTCTGTAAATGTCCTGTCTGGATAAGGGGAAATTCAACGTTTGTGTAATGACAGAGAGCTGTTACTATGCCAGCAGTGTTAGATATTTCTCATATAAAAAGGTTGCTGGATTCTTACAAAAAGCTGAAGTTTATAAAAGTATGTAACCGTTGGAAAGACTCTTAATCAAAGTCTCTCCCCCTTTTCTCTCTGTTCATCTCAGTCTTTGATACCTGATAACACCTGATGGATCGCAGCAGCTTCATTCTCAGTTTGAAATAGACTTTCATTTCTGTTCTTATAGCTGCTTATCAGTTCCTGCCGAGTGGATCCAGCTGGGTCCTTCTTCTTTATACACTGTGTGTGTGTTTGTTGCCATAGATCATCTCTCTGAGGCATTCACATATTTTATAGCCTAATATTAATGGAAAAGTCTTGCAGTGGAACAGATTTTACTCTACACATACTAAGTGTGTGTGTGTGTGTTTTCAATGCAGTGTATTTGCCTTATAGGGTTGTGTGAGTTTGTGCGTGTGATTGTGTGCGTGATTTGATCGTGCTGGCAGCCTTGAATATCATGACAAACTTGCTGTTGGAGTTTAGAGCTCACAGATGGCAGCTCTTCTCCTAAAAAGGCCAAAACCTTCAAAGCATTCTGCAGTTTTTACAGTAACAAGTGCACAAAGACTGTCCTAGACCTTAAAGGGGCAATACACAAGGTTTATACAACCCCAAAGCAGAAAATGACTAAAACTGTAAGACAGGGGTTGTTCATTAACACTAGTGAGCCCTGATCATTTTCATGAGAACTTTATGGCTTATACAATTTCTGTGTTATTCTGTCTTAGAAAAAAATACATAAATAAATCCTGCCCACTGCGCTTACTGCCTGGTTAGCTAGCTTACTCAGAGGGACTTTACTGTTATGACATAGGTTAAAAAAAGAGACAAGTCTAATTCAATCATTTATATTCCTGTTGTAATTAGAAGTAAGTGTTTTTTGTTTTGTTTTGTTGCCCCAAAGATCTATAGAAATAGAATCTATATATACACCAGAGCAAGATTAAAACGTTTTTTAATCATTTGAATGTAAAAGCACATCTAGATGCCCATGTTTAAACTTTTTTTTGATAACTCTGTACCAGGTCCCAACTTCATATCCATTTATAGTCTGTGCGCACAACATATTAGAATGTAAGGCAATGGTTCCCATCCTTTTTTATTTGTGACCCCCTAATAGATTACCTTGTCATGAAGTTCACATTTAGGAGTTGTGAGCAGTTGAAAGAAAGACTGATTTCCCCTTATGAGACTGTTTATTGGAATTATGTTTAGATACCTGAAGAAATACAACAAAGAAGATTTAATATATAAAAATATATATATTTTCCTTTCCAAAGTCTATTCATGGTTCCCAGCGGTAACCATTTTTGTTGAAATAATCATGACCTTTCCTTTTTGCTCCACCATCAGCACAAAATTAACATCTCTAGCCATACCTCAATATGCTGTCTGTTCATCCAGCACTTTAATGTTGTTGGTGAAATGAACTGTGCTGCCTCTGGCAGGGTGTTAGGCTTTCAGTTTAATT